TTCAAGTAAATTTTTCTGTAAATATTACTTATTTGGAAAAAAAATAATATTGGCAAACTATAACAACCGGACGACACAGAAAATATAAGACGTAAATAGATTGATAAAACGTGGATTGATCTGCTAACAGGAGTGACTATCAAGGTAAAATCTGCATCTAGCTCTTTTATTCCACGTAGCTCAAAGGAATGGAATGAACTCCCTTCAGCTTTAGCGTGTCAGTCTTCTTCATCCATATTTAAACGTATGTTAGGAGATCATCTTGGCTTTCAATAAATAAAAACAAAAAAAAATTTTTAAATTTTTTTTACTTTTTATTTTTTTATTTTTCTCTCACAATGTATGTATTGAAACTTTTTTGGTTTAGGTTATCATTTGGTGTCTTCTGATGCCACAAGTCCTTTTGGTGCTTTTTTGTGATATCCTACCTTTGTGTAAAAATAATTTCAGTTCAGTTACAATATAATAAAAACAGAAGCAAAAAATAACAATGAAACAAAAATCAGAAGAACAAAAAATATTTTCTCAAAATGATGATGATGAGGATGCTGTTATTGTAGACGATTATAATTTTCCTTCATGAATCATTCATTGGTGAATAACTGATAATATTATTGTTGATGATGACAATCTTAAGGACTTATATACAGAAACAACGTTGTTGGCGTTTAACGGTTGTAGACGGTCATTTTAAGTTATCATCGGGAGCATGTAAATCAAGTAGGATATTTCTTGTTTTAGCAACTGTACATTAGATGAATAGGTTCTAATGTTACTATTATCATCTGGCGAACTATCATATAGTTAAATTTATCCTTAATAGTACTAATATTATTACTAGTCTTTATTTATTGCAGAATGTGGTTTTCGGATTTTGTAGATCAATTTTATCTTGAGCTATAGTCTTAATAGTTTTCAAGTTAATATCCATCTGAATGTTCCATGATATTGTTCTCGAATAAGTCCTGATCTAATTGAATCAGATACTGATCTGCATAATTAGGAGACCAATCATCTCGAGCTATCATTCGTTCTGCTTCCGAAAAAGCACTAGTTTTATCAGGAAAATGGCCTTTAGCATAATCTATAGCGTCTTGAGCTCCTTGATAAACCTTATTTTCAATAAATGCAGCTATCACCATTATAAAAGAATTAAAAATAATATCTAATGCCTTTGTTTGAGCAGCTTCATTAAATTTTGAAACTGCTTTTTCATACTTATCAAGTGCTGATTCTATTTCAGCGGCCGCTTCGTTTAGTTTCCCTTCCCGATATAACTTTAATCCTTCTTCATTTCTTTTTAATGCTTCAGCTAACTCCTTCCAACGAGCTGCAATCTTTTCACCCATCCGCTCGGCTGCTTGTTTTTCGGCTACCTGCTTCCAGCGCGTGGCAATCTTTGTGGCGCGCTCCCCGGCTGCAAGTTTCTCAGCTGCCCTTTTCTCCGCTGCGAGTTTCTCAGCGGCAAGTTTCTCAGCTGCCCTTTTCTCAGCGGCAAGTTTCTCCGCTGCGAGTTTCT